TGTACCAGTTTAACGTTGAATATTATTTATGATTTTAACTTTATATACGAGTGCCAAAATACTATAATTATGATAATAAGCTACTAAAATCATCAACAACTTTTTGGGGACTATACAGTAGCAGTTAATTAATCCTTTAGGCATGCTCGTTGCTGTACGTTGACCATATAATGTGGTTTGAATTTCCCGCAATAAATGCGAAGCGAATGCATGAAATCAATAGATAGAGCCTAATCTTCACGGATGATCTCAGTCACCGACTTGTATCCAACATTAAAGTTTCTTCCACTACCTGTTCAAACTGTCTCCAAACATTATTTTCCAAAAAAAAAGTGGGTTCCTCATCATCAACGTGACATATGTTGCTATTCAAAAATCAATAATACTTGCAGTTTAAAATTGTTTATTAAAAAAAAACAACCCAAAATGGCATTAAATCACTCCAGTGTTTTCATACTTGAAATCTAAAATTGTACAAGCTATCAATGAATCTGGCTCTGAACCTGAATTACCCGATGATAAGTTTGAGCGTGATAAGGCTGGATAAAAAAGTAAGTGCTTAAAGGGTTAACATGCAATGATTAGTGTTTCATGAGGGTGCTAGAAAACGAGTGTTTTCGTCTAAAATTGAGTGGACAAATTAGATTACGTCAGATTGCGGGACAAGTTTTTTATTTTGTTTGTCATTTCAGCTACCTTGAATATTTACCTGATTGATGCAGTAACAGGAAACATTATATACTCAGCTTCTCACAAAAGAACCAGAGGCCCAGTGCATGTGGTCCATTCAGAAAACTGGGTAGTAGTGAGTAGATTATTTGTTCTTTAATATATAAATATGTATTATCATATATATATATACATGTGTATACCAATTATTAATAAGATTGTAGGAGTTACGTAACATTTAGGTACATTTTAAGTATAGGTTTTATTTTAGGTAAGGTAGAGTTGATATTTAGTTGTGCATGTAACTCGTATGTTTTCAGTTTTGTGCAGAATAAAACTATTCATTAATTTTTGTTGATGTTGAAATGCATTAAACATAGTCATCTGTACTAGACCCGGCAGGGATACGCTGTAACAGAAAGGCGGTTCCAGTCTTGTATTTTTAGAGAATGATTTGACTTGGCCAGTGTCCGTCATCTTTGTACGTACACACGATTTTTTTTTCAAACTGTCCATTATTCTCGACTCGTACTTTGTTATAATCGGCTGCATATGGAAGAGTAGGAAATTAAAGTTTGTTTCGTCTAGATGGATTTTCTACTTTATTGTTAGTATGAGGATGAAAAGTGACATCATCACATTACCGTCATTGATCGAATACGTTTAAAATCTATGTTTGTGTTAACTTTTCCAGAAAAACATATCACTTTCTGTAAGTGATACTAATGGCTAAGAGAGTGAAAAACGTAATTTTAATATCCGAGTATTTCGAGACCCGTATATTATTCTTGCGTCACCAAAGAAGTGGATAAATTCATGAAATGACTTCTCTAGAATCAATTTTAGATGTGTGCTGACTGGATATCATGCTTTGTTTTTGGACTGTATCTGTCTGTAATGTAGGAGTAGATGACCTTTATTACCACGCCTGAAACTGGTAGGCATGGTAAAAACCAGACGATTTACAGTGATATAATTTTCTCGTATATATAAGGTAGTTGTCTAATTGAGTATTGCTACAAATATCTGTTCTTATGTTAAGTACGTATTTTAGATGTGTGCTGACTGGATATCATGCTTTGTTTTTGGACTGTATCTGTCTGTAATGTAGGAGTAGATGACCTTTATTACCACGCCTGAAACTGGTAGGCATGGTAAAAACCAGACGATTTACAGTGATATAATTTTCTCGTATATATAAGGTAGTTGTCTAATTGAGTATTGCTACAAATATCAGTTCTTATGTTAAGTACGTCACGGGTGTTATCTCTCATTGCTGCGAGGGATTGGAAGAATGCAGTAATGTGCTAAAGTTGAAGATGCTTGGGAATAAACCAGCATAACGTGAACAGACCGTTTATTTTGTGGAATTCTTACTAAACAGTTTTGATGTTCATACACCGTGACAGCTTTAGTTCTAGTATGTTGAGCGTGCGTATTAAAGCACGCTTCACTGTCTGTTTAGTGTAGGTTAAACATTTAATATCTTCTACATTAATTGTCATTACTGATAAGTTCTCAGGCCACCTAGGGAGTGAAAAAGATGCGACAAATCTCTTCTGAAGTTTTTTTTTCATAAATACTAATATATTCAAAGAGCATTTATCTCCTCAATTGCCTGTTGTTTTTTTTTAGTTTATTTCACATTATCATTCAAAGGCAACACGGGGGTTATCTGCACTTAGCTATCCCAAATTTTTAATTTATTGACCAGTAGGAAGAGTCAACATCGATCACCAACAAATCACGCACTTCTTGTTTAATCAAACAGTGAGATTTAATTGTTTCTTAGTAAGCATCCATGGCCCCAAAGTAAAGAACACATTTTTACGTTTATATTTTGGGGGATACTAGGCCTATTTTTTTTTAATTGTGTAATTGTTTTAGATTATGTTTAGAACTGTGTTATTGTACCACCGTTTTCTTAGAACAGTTGCTTACTGTTTATCTTTAGTTTCCTGACAAAGTGGGGTCTTGAATGTACAATGAAAGTTCTGGGTTTCTTTATTTCAGTACAACTATTATAACGAAAAGTATCGTCGAACAGAAATATCTTCCATCGAGCTTTACGAAGGAAAGATGCAGAGTAACACAACAGCCTTCTCATCACTGAACCCGCCGTTCCCACCCTTGGTGGAACACCAGACTTACATCTTCCCATCTCAAATAGACGCCATGGCTCACACACTGACCGAGAGGGGAATTACAAATAAACATCTTATAAGTAGGTGACATCTTAAAACTTTCACTTCTCCATCGTAACAATGGTGTGAAAACAACTTAAATGTAAAGCAGTTTTTAAAATGAAGCATAATATTAACAGTAAAGAGAATTAATTAATCACTGATTGTTAATGGATTATCAGATCTTACAAAATTAAATAAATTATCAGTGGTTTTTTACCACAGAGCATAGTTTTTTTAATAAGTTGAAGACAGATTGATAATGTGTTTTTGTTATTTTTAACTCTTGAATTACCAACTTGTTATTACACTGTGCTTGAGTACTTTTATATTTTTGTTATTACCTCGGCAATTACTGGCATTGTTTACATTACTTTTGTGTGGTCAAGGACACTGCTAACAACCCATAAGCAATTTGTTTTATAAGTAGTTTTAAAAAGCCTTAGCATGGACTCTACAGTAATACCAGGGTTAATGAAATGTCGGTTGTTAGTTTATGTGGGTACATCTGTTGTCCATCTCTCTTTTGGTGTTATTAAAGTTTTTGATTAGTGTTTTCTCTGAACACTAGTATATAAATATTCCTTTGTTACCCCGGTTATTTAATGGTGTGTGTGCTCATGATGCACGTGTAAAGATTTTATGTTTATTTAAACTGAAAACACAACGTTATTGCACTAATATTTATCATCACAGCTGTTGATGTGTTAAACTAGCGACTACAATCCCAGTTTAATGAACATTGCTTAAAGTGATTACATTATTGGTAAAACAATTTCATATATGATGTGGATATAGCTTGAAATGTAAAGATAATTATAATACGCACCTGTTTTATTTAAATCTTGTATTTTCTCTTTCTACACATTACTAATGAAATTGTCTTTTTTTTTAATTTAAAATTTAATCCGTGCACCAATTAAGCTCCTGCAATAGTAACAACAGTAAAAATCTTAAAAACATCTTCTAAGGCTGTTTATTACTTTTTTTTCCTAAAATCACATTTGCTCGCACATTGCTGACTCAGGTTTGGTTTTTGACCCTACGTGTTTTCCAAAACTCAGTGTTAAGTTTCTCTTAACAGGCTACAGGAAATTGTGTTCAATTCTTGTTACTTTACACAGTTTTGTTTAAACATGGGAAGTAATAGTTCCATCATCCTACGGTCTTACAAGGTATAAAGGTGATAGTTAATTGGTGTTGAATTGTTTCCCATAAAGTCATAGTTACGGGCAGTACTGGAGAGGTACTCTGCTTTAGTTACTATTTCCAAGAACTTTTTGAGTGAAAATAAAGAAGAATACGTTATATATAACTCAACTTGATTATTTGATAATTTACAGAAGTTACAAAATATTGGTTCGTAATATCTGTATTAGAATGTTGACCTCAATAAATTGTATCACTTCGTATTTTTAGTTGCTATGCCAACAGGAGCACTTTTAGAACTCCCTAAAGCTTTTCTTGACCCACGGCGTCCAGTTCACCCTCTGCCAGAACACCGGTAAGTTCTTTATGTTCATGATGCCCATACCCACCATAAAAAGTCTGTGGTTTTAAAAGCTTTTCTACAATTTTGTCATTTAAAGAATACACATGTACTCGTAATGTTCGGGAATATTTAGTTTGGGTACATCTAACATGACTTGGATGCTTTCGTTCTTATTCCTGATAATTAATTCAAGCTTACATACAAATAACTGCTGTTTAAAATACATTTCAAACTAAAGACCAACCAGTTTCGATCCTTGAATTGCCTCGTACAGTATTAATTGTTAAAGTACTTTTGATTTACATTCTTTGACATTTTCTTCAACCATCTTGGGAACCACCTGTAAATATTTTTTCAAAAACCTGTTCTTCTTAGTTTTATATTATAATATATCAAGCTTCTTAAAGTTCTAGTGTATTTAAATGTGCTGTCACTTAAAGAAGTTCAATTTTGTTTTTTACTGGAAAGATAAATATTAAGAGCTCTAAAGCCTACTAAATAGTATGTCATTTAAAACGTTAATATCGTACAAAGTAGTCCATGAAATCTTAGGATTGGAATTACTACTGTAAAAACTAAATCTTAATCATAAATTTCCTGTAGCTAACTTTTTTTGACAGTAAAATTTATACATTCTATTCACTACATCATCCTCTTTCAACTCAAACTTCTGATAAAACCAACTGTTGACAAAAGTTAGTGGTTCACCAGTTATACGGTTTGATGTAAGACTTGTTTATACAGGGAAGAAGGACTGATACCATATATTCCCGAACTTCCAGTACCAGCAGAAGGAATAATCAATTATAACCTGACGGTTAACCACATCAGAGGAATACACACAGCCCCTTCAGGCTTGGAGTCAACCTGTCTCATCATTGCGTACGGATTAGGTACGTTATTGGGCACAATCAGTTCCGTTAGTATTTTACAAAATGTAACATTAAAGATCAATTTTAAGTGTTTTTTGAAAAAACTAGGCTTAGGTAATAACTGTTTTTATCAGCAAGTGAAGTATGCTAACTCTAGATGTCACTAAAGTCTCATCATTACGTACGTTATTGGGCATGATCAGTTCCGTTAGTATTTTACAGAATGTAACATTAAAGATCAATTTTAAGTGTTTTTTGAAAAAGTAGGCTTAGGTAATAACTGTTTTTATTAGCAAGTGAAGTATGCTAACTCTAGATGTCACTAAAGTCTCATCTTCATTATTCTGTGTAAAATCACTCTTTTCAGATCTCTTCTATGCTCGAGTAACTCCCTCCAAAACGTTCGACATTCTCAAGGACGACTTTGAACACTTCTTGATCTCGGCTGTACTCTCAGCTCTGCTACTGGTCTCCTACGTCACCAAAAAATTAGCAGCGAGAAAAGCTCTACGAGCTGCTTGGAAATAACTTATTATAAAATTAGAATTATTAACAGTATTTAAAGATTTGTATTCTAATATTGTAAAGTACATGGAGAAGAACCTACATATGATCGTCAATAACATACATTCTTTAAAAAAAAAAACTCGGCTTTTTAATTGTTAATATCACTGGAATTAATGCACATGTGATCTTACTTTATTAGATTTCAAGGCATTCGATACTAGCTTGAAGTTTTTAAATTGATTTAACAACAGTATTCAGATATCTTTAGTTTTGTGGTCAATAAATACAGAATCCTTCGTCTTTGAAACGAGAAAGGTTTAACTCGTTAGAGTAACGAATACTTTCATACAAACCTACAAAGAACTTGTACGTGTTTATGGATAATTACCGTCACATATATCTGGGGTGTATGTGAAAAGGTTTTTCTCTTGATTAGTCACCAGACATATAGTGGTTCAGTGTTAAACTAGCCTCACCTTCTGTTGTGTATTTAGTTTTCAATGACAAAGATACAGTAGTGTTAATAACATCAAAAATCCATGTTCTAGTGCCACCCATGCGAATTAAAACATGTCAGAATAAATATAACGAAGAAGGTAATACTTTTACTGATCTGTTGTTTGTATTTGTGAAGTTGACATAAGCGATATTTATGGTAACATTACAAGGTTTAATAAAACCAGAAGTCAACAGTTGCCCTATAAACCACAACGTAATTATTTTGTGAATTTTAGTTTTGGTGTTACTTTCAAATACCAATTACATTCACAACCCAAGGAGTCTTCGACATGTACTTTCAGAAAATTATAACTGAAATAATATCCTCACTTTAATTATTACGTAGAAGAGTCATCTTAGCTTTAGATAATGAGTTTCCTTTTTTGAAGATTAGAGTGCTCGTTACAATATGTGACTACAAGGAGACCTCGTTAATTGTGTATTATACATGGAATGGTTATAAACACTTTTGTTTACCAGTTTACATTCATCTTTATAAGATAATGTGAAACAACCTTTAGATTATTGATTCAGCT